TATATAATTTATTTCTTAGTTTTACCAATTTCTCTGTGTTAGAATAAATTCACTACAGAATGGATTTTTTTTTTAAATTTACTGCTTCGTATCTAGAATGGTATCTGCTCCATAACATACTCTGTAAATACTTATTAAATGAACAAATTAATTCTTACAACAATGTCAGGAGATGATTACTAGACCTCACAGATGAGAAGGAAACACCACCAAACTACCACCACAAATAGCAACAACAACAACAAAAAAACCCCAAAACTACCCCAAGGAGGTTAAATTAAACATCAAACCTTAAAAAATGCCAATTAATAGGAGACTGTTTAAATAATTTATGGTGTGCCCTGGCCGGTGTTGCTAAGTGGTTAGAGTGTCAGCCCATGCACCGCAGTGTCTCCAGATTGATTCCTGGTCTAGGGTATGTACCTGGGTTGCAGGTTCATCCCCAGCCCCTGTAGAGGGTGTGTACAAGAGGCAACCAAATTGATGTGTCTCTCTCACATCAATGTTACTCTCTCTCCCCCTCTATCCCTTCCTTTTACTGTCTCTAAAAAAAATCAATGGAAAAAATATCCTTGGGTGAGGATTAAGAATAAATAAATAAACAAACAGATAGATAGATAAATAATTTATGATATAACAAAATAATGGAATAATATGTACCTCTAAAAAGTGATGAAGACAATCTTTATATTCTTATATAGGATGATATCCAAGATATGTTGTTAAGTAAGGTATGGAAGTATCATATATTATCATTTGCTTAAACATCAGGAAAAATATGCACATTTGCTGATATATGTATAGCCTAAATCAGGAAGAATATACAAGAAACACTGATTACCACTGGAGATAGAGACTAGTAATTATGGATGATTTTAGGTCAATCTTGTCTTTCTATGAGTGTCTGCACCATTTAAATTTTGAGCCATCTAGATGTGCTATATATTAAAAAATAAAATTGAATGATAATTTGCCTAAAGTCAGACACCTAGTTAGTGACAGAGAATCACATTTAAATTTGGGATTGCCTGGCTCAAAAGCCCATTTTCTGTCTATTAGCCTATACTGTCTCATAGAGGAAAGTGCAGAGCCAATACATTTCATTTTATTATTGTGTTGAATTCTTGAAAGTCATCTCAAATATATAGGATGCAAAGGGATATTCTCTTTCAGCCGAGGGAACATCAGTAATGGAGAATTAGTATGTGTAGCTTTCTTAGTCTTCTGAAAGCATTTATTTTCTCTCCACAGCTGCTGGTTGGCAGATTCAAAAGAGAATGATGATAAAAAAGGCCCATTTTATTGGTCATTCATTCTACCTATGACCGTTATCCTCACCAGCAATGTTGCTCTATTTATTGTCATTATGGTGAAAGTGGTGTGGAAGGATAACCAGAATCTGACAAGGTAAGATTCCCAGTAAATGGGAGGCTGCCAGGCATGACTTGGTGAGCACATGATAGAGCACCCTCATATATCTGCACCTCCTAGAAGAGTTTTCAGCCACTGGGACAATGGCAGGGACATGTGGTTGCAGGACAGATGTTCTCTTAAATTTTGGCTGCAGGACAGATGTTCTCTTAAACTTTGCCTCTGAAAGTAGATCTTCTCATCTTCCAACATCAGCACTATAATGTGGGTGTGCTGCATTACACAACATACTTTTGTGCTATATGAGCCCAACTAAAAAACTCAACCCAAGTTTTCCCCCAAATATTCAATAAATCAGATTTGGATAAAGAAATGGGAGGGTTGTGAATAAGTGCTAGTAAATGTATTTTGTAAACTAGTAGCTGTAGGTTATGTTGTATATGTGTTGCTTGAATCAGATAATGGATTTATATTTTTTATTACTTGTAAACATAAAATAATAGGAAGATTTCACTTAAAATGCTTTTTTTTCTTGAAAAAAAAAAAAAAAGAACAACTGGCAACATTAAGCCCACATTCCCTGCAGATGGAGCATGTGAGCCCTGGTTTATTAATCTCCGTGTGAACTGCTTTTCTCCTTTATATAACCTTCCTGACTCCAATAAAGGTTTTCATTGTCATTCCCGATATGCAGAAAAAGCCTTCAGTTGGAGAGAGAAAGGACAGAAACTATTAAATCCATAAATCCCCCCTTCTCCCACAGTACACATTGATTAAAACATGGTGCCAATGAGGCTATGAATTCAGGTTTAATTCTATAAGACTCTACTTAGCCCAAGTAGACTTACTATAAGCACATCTGTGAGTTTCGCTGGTCACCAAATGAGTGCACTTGGTATGAACAGATGATGAAAACAACTCTCATCAGTGGGACTATAATCTTTAATATGTAATTTACTGATCAAGAGTAGTATCATCTTCCCTTTATGATAATCCATTTAAGGGGAAATATGGGGAAGAATATCAATGATAATCATTCAAACCTATATTTTATTAGAAGACTTCTCACTGATGTCTTCTCAGCCTAATTGCAAATTCAGTTATATTTTCTTTATACAAAACAATATCACTTTGGCCTCAGATATCAACCAAATTTATACTTCCAAATTTTGGCTGATAGCACTTGTTCTTAAATTGGCTTAGTTACAATGAAAAGCAGGTTACAATTTAATTGTTTAACAAGTTATCTTTCATGTATCAGTTAGCTTTTGCTGCATAACAAACCACCCCAAAACTTAATGGCTTAGAATGACAAATGTTTATTTGTCATAAATTTGAGCATTGGTTGGGCAGTTGTCCTGGTTCTGGCTTGAATGTAGGTGAATGGTCTAGGGCAGTGGTCGGCAAACTCATTAGTCAACAGAGCCAAATACCAACAGTACAACGATTGAAATTTCTTTTGAGAGCCAAATTTTTAAAACTTAAACTATATAGGTAGGTACATTGTTATTAACTTAATTAGGGTGCTCCTAAGCTGGCCTTTGCTAAAAATATCCTCAATCTGATTGAGGTACGTTCGCTGAGGTTGACCCCTTCCAACTCTCCCTTCCAACTCTTCCATCCACTCTTCCCATCTCGTCTTGTATACTTGTTTCGTCCATCTCCTTTCATTCATCCTCTCTATATGTCCAAACCATCTCAACATACAGGGCACCTAAAAAAATGTTTCATTTTATAATAATAAAGCCAACACAAATAATTACAATTCTTAAATTGATGACAAAAATACCTGTAAGGATTTGCAGCTGGTTGGAAAAATACAGGTAACTTTATGCTTCAAGTAGGAACTTTTGTCACCCGTGCGATTTGCGGACACGACTAGCACTAACCACTGCACAATGAGACTGCTGACTGACTGGCTCACTCAACTCGTGCATGAATTGGCCGCGCCTCCCCCGCGCTGCATATCCCACGGCCCGCCTGCCCCCACTTCTTCTAATGCCACTTCTTCAAAATAGACTCGCCCAGGCCAAAAAACGACTTCTGCGCATGGGCCACGAAGTTTCAATCGCACTGTACGTGCGCACCCGCACATGGGTTATTTTGTGGAAGAGCCACACTCAAGGGGCCAAAGAGCCATATGTGGCTCATGAGCCATGGTTTGCCGACCACAGGCCTACACCTTGGGAAGGTTCCAGATGCCTCCACAACAATTAATCACTAGCTGATCCAATAGTAATAATAACTAAAATAAAATTCTCTTCCAAAGAAAGAATTTATTCTTTGTGAAATTTGCCTGTAAGGAATTGTTTATGCCAGATACAGTTATCACTGTATTTCTTAATAAAGCTTGCTAAATCAGATTCTATCCAGCATGGCATAGGTCTAACATAATTTTTCCACTGGAGGCATAATATTGTTAAATGAACAGTATATGTGGGCAGCTGAATATATATTCTTAACAGTAGGGTAACAATGATATTAATAAAAAAATAAAAAGAACCGAATGAACCATATTTTCTTGCTTGTTTTCATTTACCTAGCACAAAAAAGGTTTCATCGCTAAAGAAGGTTTTTAGCACGTTATCTATTGCAGTCATATTTGGAATTACCTGGATCCTGGGATACTTTATGCTACTAGGTGATGAGAACATCAGACACGTCTCCAGCTACGTATTCTGCATTTTCAACACTACTCAGGTATGGTGTGGATTAGTCTGAAAGTAGCTGACCATGCAGGGGTGGACGTGATATCTCCGTGGATCAAAATTTTCTCCTTTTAAAACTCTCTGAAGGTCATTGTTTAGTAGCTTTAGGAGATTTTATTTAAGTTTTTTTTTTTTGAGGGAAGACAAAGGAAAGTTCTTCATGACTATATGTTCTTTTCTGCACTGAATACAAATTTTCGGATAGCTTTTTCTATATCTGTGAAAAATGCCAATGGAATTTTGGTAGGGTTACATTTAATCTACATTGTTTTGGGTTGTATGAACATTTTCACAGTATTTATTTTCTTAATCCAAGAACTCAGGCTATCTTTCCATTTATTTGTGTCTTTTTCAATGTCTTTCATCAATGTCTTATTTTTTTCCCCATCTATGACTTATTGTTTGGGGTCTCTTACTTTCTTGGGTTAAATTTATTACAAATTATGTCATTTTTTATGCTATTATAAATAGGATTATTTTCTTAATTTTATTTCATATAGTTTGTTCTTAGTGTATAAAAATGCAACTGGTTTCCATGTGTTGATTTTGTATCCTGCAACTTTATGGGATTCATAAAGTTCTAACTGGTTTTTGGTGGAATTGTTTGGTTTTTCTATATATAAAATCCTGCAAGAGAGTTGATTTGTTAGAAGCAGAACCTTATGAAATTTTTTGTGTGTGACATAATTATACATAGGACTAAAGATGCTTTTATTCCTGAGTCTTATCTCAATGATACATTTAATCATAATTTTAAAGAACATTCTATTCATAACTTGTCTTAAAATTTGAATGAAGATTTATATATGTTTTTATTTGGAAACAATTCTATTAACATATTGGAAGCATCTCCTATAAGAAACTAAACATTTAGAGGAAATATAATGGTCATCTAATTTTTATTATGGCAAAAATACTGGTATAGATAAACCAAAATGGTAGATTAAAAATAACTTAGTTTGATCTCAGATGATTTTTGTTTTCATATGTTAGTATTTGTGTATGTGGAGGGAATGGAAAAACTTTAAGATAAAACAAGGAGTCATTATTGAAAGACTTATCTTGAAATCAGAATTTCTTTCCATGGTTTTTATTCTATGCCTTCTCCTGTGGCAAACATTGTCTTTTGCTCTGATGAAAAATATTACAAGGACTTTTCTGTCTCTATATTTAATCTTATTTTTCCTGAGCTGGCAGAGTGAATTATACTTCAATATAATAAAAGTACCTTTCTTCTATTTTTATTTAAAAATATTTTTATTGATTTCAGAGAGGAAGGGAGAGGGAGAGAGAGAGAGATAGAAACATCAATGATGAGAGAGAATTATAGGTTGACTCTCAACCAGTGAGCCATGCTGCCTGGGCTGAAGTGATGATTTTAATTCTAGTTATATTAATATAACTCAAGTAAAATAGAAGGATTGTAGTTTTATATGTTCATTTGTCCCATTTCTTCTTGTACTTAAAAATTAACTCTTTTTTTTTTTTACATAGAAGTCTCATCTCCTCAGCTAGGTTATTAGTTCTCTAGTGCAAGTAACACGCTTGTATATATCTTTTGCAGTAGATATCTTGTTTGCTATCAGGATGGGCTGTACTTCTCTAGTATTTTGTGAAGTATACTGCAGTGTTTGGTGATTGTCTCATTAAGTTGCTGAGAATAGTAACCATTGTGTGTAGTTGATATTGGTTGTTTTTGGCCCTGATCAAATATCACTGAGGAGGGAAATCTTTGATACAAAATGGAAATCATTGGATAGGGCATTAGTTAAATTTGTCTTGGCCACAAATGATGAGTTTGTTTAGTGAAGTGTGGAGAGCTGCTTATCTGTATGAATTGCTAACATCACATTTAATACTTGTAAGCTTCTCACTGTCTATCCCAGAGAGCCCTCTTCAGTGCCTTTCATGAATTACTCCCTTAAATGCCTAAGTTTAAATAGATATAAGGCAGTTCTTTACTGTTGGCAACTCCCAATGGAATCTCTCCAGAAGGGCAATAAATACGGTAAGCTTAGTTGGGATTGCCAGTTGACCATGGGCTTGTTGCCTACAGCTACCAGTAATTTAGAAAAGTGTCTTTAAAAAGGTATGGTCAAGGATATTCTCTTCTACATGCATAGGAGAGGCACATTACAAAATAGAGGCCCATTACAAAATGTTCATACTACCTGGTAAAATTGAGGGTGGCTGTAGGGCAAGAGCCCCACGGACTAAAAGTCAGGAGACTTTGGCTGTCTTTCAGGTTTAATATTATTGACTCATGATTTCAGGTAAGTCACTACCTCTCTGAGTGAGACATGCAAAATATAAAATGGAAGAGGGTGTTAAAATTGACACAATGTTTTTTGAAATGGTTCTGAATATTGCCTAGATCAGAATGTACACAATGTGTTAAAATGCTGATTTCTGGGCAACTTCACCCCTCACTCTATTGAATCAGAGTTTATAGGGTAAGAGCTGGGAATCTCCAGTTTAAAGTAAGGTTTCATGTACCTTAAAGTGTAGGAATGACTAGATTAATTCACATGTAAGCTCCTTCTAGTTGTAGAATGCTATAAGGCTAATACATATTTATTTGCTAAGTCCTGCAGATATTACTTAAAAGACACAATTTAATCTTTGTGCTAGTGATAATTAGTTGGATGCCTACATTTTGTTTTTTCAAATAACATCTTTGGGATTTCAAGGGCACAAAAATATTGGGATTCCACTGACTTCCACAGGATAGTGTCTACATCTTTTCCTAACTATTGTACAACCAGAAATTCTTAGTATTGTCTTTGACTTAGAATTTAAATTCTGGAAAAGCCAGATGAAAGAATGTACCCCACAGAAAGGAGCTTTTCTAGAGACCAGATTTCTCCAAAATGAATTTCTCTCCCTTGAACAATCAGGATGGCTAATGACCACGTTTGTCCTTGCGAAACCCCATGCACACTTCCTTGTGTCATCCAGGCCTTTTTCAGATGTGTTAGGTACCACCTGTTGGTTAACAATCAAGTTAATCTTCCTGCTTTTTTCCAGTGAACTGGTCTATCTCTTGCGAACAAGTATCGATTCTATTAGCCAAACTCAGAATCTTTGGATTATCTTACCACAACACCAGAAGTCTCCTAAACGGTATCTATGGAATATATTAATTATAGAAATACATTCTTTTAAAAATGTTTTTATTCATTTTAGAGAGAGAGGAAGGGAGATGGAGAGGGAAACATTGATGTGAGAGAAAAACATCCATCAGTTGCCTCCCCTATACACCCAACTGGAGACCAAATCTGACCTGGGCATGTGCCCTGACCGGGAATCCAACCGGCCACCTTTCAGTCTATGGGGGGGAAGGGACGCTTAACTGAGTCACATTGGCCAAGGGTAGAAATAAATTTTTATAAAACTTGGGGTCACATAGGTGCCAATCTGGGAGACATCCATGGATATTTACTTTTAATAACTTTTTATTTTGAGATAGTTGACTACAAGAAGTTGCAAAAACAGTAGAGTCCCATGTACTCTTTGCCCAGCTTTCCCTAATAATAATGTCTTGTATAACACTACTGTGTTGTCAAAATAAAGAAGTATAAACATTAGCACAATACTATGAACTCAGTTACTGATGTTATTTCATATATATTTAAAAAATATTTTTATGGATTTCAGAGAGGAAGGGAGAGGGAGAGAGAGATAGAAAACATTAATGAGGAGGGAGAATCATCTATCCGTTGCCTCTTGCATGCCCCCTACTGGGGATCAAGCCTGAAACTTGGGCATGTGCCCTGATGGGGAATTGAACCCTGACCTCCTGGTTCATAGGTCCATGTTCAACCACTGAGTGCCATAGGCTGGGCCAGATGTTATTAATTTGTCAAGTTGGGGAGTTGTGTGAATGATGAGAAAAGGGTAGGTGACAAGGTGAAATAAAATCCCTTCCCTGGTTCTGTATTGCAGCGCTTATCTAATATTAAGCTTTTATTCTATCTGCCAGGGATTGCAAATTTTTGTCCTCTACACTGTCAGAACAAAAATCTTCCAGACTGAAGCTTCCAAACTGTTGAAGTCGCTGTCGTCATCTGCTGGGAGAGTGAAATTGCTGCCATCAGCAACCCGGATGAGGCTGCGCGTAAGGATGTATAACATGCTCAGGTCATTCCCAGCCCTAAATGAACGCTTTAGGCTGCTGGAGCCAATTGTGGTTACCGAGGAAACGACACTCTCTGAAAGTGACCAAACATAAGCATCTAGACAGTAGAGCTGTTGCCTTCTGTGGTCTCTCTTATTCAACTTGTGTGAGTTTTACCTTTTCTATTTCTTTCCTTTATTACCCAATCCTTCAGGAAACTCTCCCTCAATATATTTGGCTCAAGGTTAAAAATCAGGTAAAACCTGTGATTTATTATCATCAGGGATACTGGGTTTGGTAGTATTTTTTTATTATTCAACAGATTTTCACCTGAACGAGATGAAGAATCCCATCCAACATTCAAAATAATTCAAGATTATCATTGCTCTGTGTATATCATAAAGTCTGTGACAAACTTTGATAAAAATGTAGAACCTAAACAAATTCTTTTACGATTTACTACAAAGGGTACAAGGAGAAAAATTTACCAACTAGAAAATGACTTCTGATGAACAATGTGAAGAGCTCCTTATACGTATCATACTTTTGGACTCTGAATATTTAAAATTTGTATATGTTTATACTTTCCAATTAAGAATTTTGTATCCATTTAACCTCTGGAAAGGGAATTTTTTGTTGTTTTAAAAAATCATGTTTTATGACTCAGGAGTTGGCTCTCTGAGAAACGGGCAGCGAGAAATAGAAAGATTAGCTGGTTACTAACACCTCTGGATATTTCCACCCACTTCTTGATGTATCTGCCTTTTTATTGATGAAATGACACAGAGACTCACAAAGTGAAAATGTTAGTCACAGTCACCCCTATGGCTTTTGAAAGATCTAACTAATTGCTCATGAAATTTTAAACACTTGAATTATGAATGACTTCCTAAATAAAAAAAATGACCTCCACTGGGTTGGGGGGTACTCCCACTGGAATTAGGAGAGACAGCCTTTGAATTGCTGTGTTCTTGTTTGTCATGAACTAGGCAGCTGCTGTGAGTACACTGAACTAAGGCACTAACATGTCAGGTGAGCCGTGGCATACCCTTTTCACCACACCCTAAAGTACATGTGTTTTATAGAAGTGGTTTTAAATGACTGTTGGATTCCTAGATAAGACAACAAGAGCCTGTTTCATCTGTAGAATAATTGAGACCTAACAGGGTAATGGAGAAAGGTAAAGGGAAAAGAATAAAGAAGAAAAGCAGTTCTCAGAGATCAGTGTTTTAGTGGTGTTATAGTGCTACACCTAGGTAGGGGCTGGACACAGGGAAAATTATAAGATGTGGTTGACCTACTCTATTTCCTAAAATATATATTCAGATAAAATTAAATTTAAGTAAGGGCCATTTTAAATATGAAAAAAAGCACCAAAAAGCCACATTTACTCTGAGGGTGGAGTACATGTGTTCCCCTGGTGATTTTAGGGGTTTTTTTTGCACCTTTTCAGCATTCTTGGAATATAGGAATCAGAATACCTTATAACATTCCTGGAATAGCTATACCATAAATCTGCAAGCTCCACATGCATACTGTGGAGGCAAAGTCAGGCAGACAATGATGTACCTACCCTGAAATCCATCCACGAGGAAACAATTCTATTTAAAGGGATCTTTCTGTTTAGTGATAGAGATCCAACTCAAATTAGGTTAAGGGTCAAAGAGAATGTAATGGCTCAATTAATTGTAAAGTCCAAAGGCCAGGTTGGTTTTAGATAGGGTTCTGGTTTGCCTGGACCAGTCTCAATTTGTGCCTGTTGTCCTGACTTAGGTATTACTAGCAGCCCCTTTTATTCTCAAAAGTGTCCTGGTTTGGGGCATAAAATATATGATAATATTAACTTTAGGTTTAGAGTTCAAATGCAAGGAGTTCAAAGAATGTGTCAAGATTCTTTTTATCTCCCTGTTTTTTTGGCTCTTTGTGCTTCTGTGTTTGGCTTTATTCTCAAATGGGGTAGACATGGGTGGAAACTGGCCATTGGCACCTCCATCCTTCTGCCTTGCAACCTCCCATCAGTGTCTCCCGTCAGCTGTAGCCAGCCAGAAGCCAGCGGCGCCAGGAGCCTGTGGGGCTCATTCCCCTGTGATATGGAGCACAGCAGGGGGAGGGAGAGGAAAGGACCTAAGAACTGGCACACCTTGCTTGGTGGTGTGCCCACAGGTGTTGTGTTCAGCCTGGGTCACATACCCGCTGTGAAGTGGAGGAATGGGGGACGACTTGGTTGACAGGATATCCTGAAGTGGAGAATGGACGGTTACACCAAGCATGGGAGGCTGGCAGCATCCACTACATCGCCTGACAAAATACAAGTACCTTCTAGGAAGGCAACCAACCACCTTTAGGCTCATCTCTCATTTTACTCTGAATAGGCCTATTAGATCCTTGTCTGAGCAGGGTTTGATGGGGTGGGTAAGGAAAGCAAGAACTTATTTGTTGCCTTGGGAGGTGAGGAGCAAGGATAGAGACTGTAGAAGTGGAAGAGTGACTTACTTAAAGAAAATTCCAGGAAAGGAAAACTGAGATGACTGCAGAACTGGTTTTTGTGATCTTATATGAGGCCAACTTTTGTGGTTCTGATTTATATTGGGTGATAACAGCGCCCTTTAGCCTTTTGATCGTGGCAGCACATGTAGTTTCTTTGGAAACAAACCACCCTGACCTTTGAATTTCCTTTCCTGGGTCTTAACTGTCAGTTCAGAGCTCACACTTTAATCGCAAGAGTCTGGAATGCTTCCCCCCCATCCCCCAAATTCTTCTCATTTTAAAGTTTATCTTGCCCTCCTTCCTTTTATTTTCTTCCTTTTTTTTTTTTCTGTCACCAACAAATAGAGATTATTCTCGAGGTCATTGCTATCAATTGGACATTGCCTCATCAGAAGAGCTTGGCATTCTTTGCAAACATTTGGGAAACCCTGGCCAAAGGTGTTGACTAGATTATATCAGCCTGTCAACCATAGGAGCTCTCTGGTTCTCTGGAACCTCCTTAATGTGACCCTGGGGCTTTAAGTGCCTGGCTGGCAGATTAGGTCCAAGACAGAGCCACTAGGATTATGTGTAGAACCTGGGGGCAAAGGTTCAGGGGTGGAGATGGGGCAGGTTACATTTACATTTATATTTTTAAAACACGGTGTTAACCATCTTATAATGATTTTAAAAGATACTCACAGAGTATATATTTTTAAAAAGCAAAATCCACAATTCCCTATCCAAACATATTAATAATGTCTGTTTTGTCATGTTCCCTTATGCTCTTTGTTTGATTGTATAAGAATTTTACATAACTGTAATTATCTATATCTGTAAAAGCCTAAGCTGACTGGCTGACCAGCTGACTGACCAGTCACTATGACTCACACTGACCACTAGGGGGCAGACGCTCAATGCAGGAGCTGCCGAGCTGCGGTCACTTGGCAGTGGTGGTCCTTGGGTGACACACCTGGAACCAGAGAGGAGGAAGCCCAATTCTGGGGTGCTTCACTTGATAACCACCCTCTTGCAATCCGGGATCCCTCAGGGGATGTCAGAGAGCCAGTTTTGGCCCGATCCCCACAGGCCAGGCTGAGGGACCCCACCAGTGCATGAATCAGTACACCGGGCCTCTAGTAACTAAAAAAAAAGTATTCTGATTTTTACTGTCAATCACCTACTAATGAAATCCTTATAATAATTAATGATTGCATAATTTGGTAAAGTTTACTAAGTTGTTTTATTACTGGATACTTATATCATTTCCATTTTTAATATTATAGTGTTGAATGAGTTAGTACCTATATTTTACCTTTCTTTTTAATTATTTCCTTAAGATAAATTCTCAGGAGTTCCTTTTCATTAGAGTTATTTGGTGAAAATATTTCTTTCATTTTATTATTTTTTAATATAATAAAATGCCCCCTCTGCATTTAATTTAAAATATCCAAAAGATTTATAAAGGATTTAGCAATTTTTGAGTTTATGTGTCCTCATTTAGGCAGATTATTTCTTATTTAGGGTTAAGGAATATGTTAGGGACTATGTAAGAAGCTTTTAAAATGAAGAACAGGGGCATAAATATGCCAACCAAAGACAAATGAATCATGTGTGACAGGCACATGACATGTCTAACCCTTCATTATATCATTCAGCAGTTGGATGAGGTTCTATGACAAAGTTATTTTTCCCTGTCAAATACGTTTTTTGACTATTTTTGTCCATCTACCTTTTCTTAAAAATAAAACATTAAATCTTGGAGGAGAGAGGAATAAGCTTTATTAACAATTATTGATTAACGTACACAAAAGATTCAAAGTAGTGTTATATATGCATCATCTATATTACTTTATTTGCATATAGGTACAGTATTAAAATGTGTGTTTGAAAATAATATATAACAGTGGCTGAAAAACTGATTAAATAAGAAAATCAGGAGGAAGGGAAAATAATCTAGGAGCAAAAAGTAAGAAACCAGGAATGAGATTAGTACCCAAGAAGCATGTTATAAGGTCTGGTATTTTGCTAGGAGTGGGCCACAGATTGGACTATCAGCCTTCTGACAACCAACATAAAATAGGGAAACGTGATCGCACAAGTCACGTATCTCTTAACAATTAAACAGACACATAGTTACTCCAACACTACTTGAAATTGGTATTAAGTTTTCTTAATGTCCATCTGGATATATTGCCAAATGAGAGGGTAAACTGGAATGAACAGAAGGGTTATCACATTTGGAAATGCAGCTTCCATGCCTTTGCTAAGTGTATGCTACACAGTCACGGTGATGTTCAGTGTTACTCCAAAGTTACTCAATACTACGCATTTACAAAGACACACACTTAATTTGCACCACAAGAACCGTCAGAGTCACAAATGAGGCACTGAAGACTGTTTCTCCTTTTAAAAATAGTAAAGTGGTTTTTCTTAATTTGGTTATTGGAGTTTGTTTTCTGTTTTGTGTGTTTACTTTGGTAAGGGGCTTGTTCTCTCTCTTTTTAAAATTTTAAGTAAACTTTATTGATCTGTAATTTACACAAAATAAAATCACCAATTTTAAGTGTACAATTAGATGAATTTAACAAATGTATACACCTGTGAAACCTCTACCACCCTATAAAGTTCTCTAGTTCTCCTTCCCA